CAAGGACTTTTCAGCTTCCCATGCTCTACCGACTGAGAAGGCTGGAGGTGCACAAGAAGCTGGGAGGGGGCACAGCCAGGACAGCTGCACACAGCTGGCCAAAGGGACATAACACACCATGAGACGTCATGCTCAGTATATAAACTGGGGGGAATTAGCTGGGGAGGGGGTGACCACTGCTCGGGAACTGGTTGGGCATTGGTCGGTGGGTGGTGAGCAACTGCATTGAGCATCACTTATTTTGTATATTCTTTTATCATCATCATCATTACTGTTTTACTTTATTTTATTTCAATTATTAAACTGTTCTTATCTCAACCCACGAGTTTTCTCACTTTTCCTCTTCCGATTCTCTCCCTCATCCCACCGGGGCGGGGGGGAGTGAGCGAGCAGCTGCATGATGCTCAGTTGCCGGCTGAGGTTAAACCACGACAAGGATTCAACGGCGATACCCAGTTTCCCCATCGTGTTTACAGCACAGCAGACAAGCAGCAACATCCCAAGGCAACACTGCTGAGCAGTTCATAACCTCAGACCACAGCCCTGACTCCAAGGGACCTCTCCAGTACAGTGGGGAAGAGGCAGCTATGATTAGCTGTGCTGGGAAGCATGCAGTATATGCAACACAAACAGCCCCATATGGGTATTGTTTGGACAGAGGGAGCACCCTGGCCCTTCCTTCCCTTGCCAGATGCTATTAAGCTTACGTAGCACGTGTTTTCAAGATGTCGTTGGTCAAGAAGTGCATCTCTTTTTGGCACTCCTTTTCCTTATTTAAAAAAAAAAAACAACACAAAAAGTGGCTTTTGTTTCTATCCCAGTGCACTGAAAATGGATACTTTATAGAGAAAGAGGACATTTATCAGCAAATGAAACATAGACAAGCAAAAGAAAACAGAAATCTTTTTTTTTTTCATAACAGAAAAAAAAGACTGGTCGTGTACAAAGTTAAAGATTTATACAATGTTCCTGAGTTACAAAAACAGTCACGAAGCCAAAATCGCATTTGGCAGCAGAAAGAAAATACATGAACAATCTCTGACTAATACAATTACTTTTGATTGTGCTGAGTTTTCAAGCCTTTGCCTTTACTAGCTAGGCTTCAGTTCAAAGTCTAACGCTGTATGGATTGGCTGTGGGTCATCTGTGTGATTCTTCTGGAAAGAGTTTGGCTAACCTTTCCTTTCCTAGGAACAAAAATCAATTGCAAAAATCGCCTTGCTCTGCACATATTATGAAACATAGCTTTGGAAAATGTGTTCTCTATTCCTTATAATTTTGCAGTGTGGTGCGGAGTGCACTAACAGCACTGCATGTAAATACTCTTATTAGTGCCTCTACAAGTAAATGCCATAAAGAATTGGTTGTGATGAATATATGCATTGTAGTGACTTCAAATTTGGGGGTTTCTCTCTAAAAAAGCTTAAAAATAACATTGCCATATTCAGAACTAAACTTTCCATTCTCAAAAAACTCCAAGTATTTATTTAAATTGTAGAGGTGGTTTTGAAGTGAAATCAGTATAAAGCCAATCAAAATCCCTGGGCATCAAGTGATCGAGTGGTAAGTATGTCCTTCTGCAGTCCACAAGAGGAGTGCTGGAAATGCAGGGCAAGCACTTACAGCAGCAGTTGTAACTAGAATCATATCAGAACACCCTGCCTGTGCCCTCATACCCTTCCCCTGGCAAGCTCTTGCCTAGGATGTTCAAGCAGTCAACCAAGTTTAAGTGGTTGGGTCTAGGGCCCTTAATAACTATACTTTATAAATGGGCACTCTTCAATTTTTACATAACATCTGATGGTCATCAGGATGACGTAACTACTGTTACAAATCGT